GTTTCAGTGTTGGTTTCTACTAACTGATGCCATGGCGTCCGTCAGCATGCGTCCACCGCGTCGAGCGAGAAGGTGCTGCCACCATTTACCGCCTACCCATAACCGTCAGCACGGGCACATATCAGCGACAACGGCGCCCGTAAGGTGCCGCCGCCGCTTGTCGCCAGCATGTGAACGCGGCATCAGACCTTCGCAGGTGTTACGATGTAACACTTGGTGAGGAGATTTTTCTATTATTAATAGTGTAGGCGTGCGGGAAACGTTTGAAATGAAACGAGAAGTCGATTCAGAAAGTTTGTGAACTCGCTTATGTTCACGTCCTACTTCAGTCGATGGAGTGGGGATTGCCGATTCTTACGGAGAGCGCGCAGAATAGTGGAAACATCCTAAACCTTAAGAGGTTGGTGCTGAGGGTATGAGAAACCTACGTAACGCACGAGCGTGAGAAAAGTCTTAGACAACTTAGAGGGTAAATGAAAAAAGCCGCTGAAAATTTCCGCAGAAAATTTTCTTGATGGCAAAAAAAAGGTCCCATGATGATTTTTTCCAATATTTCTCATTATCGAGATAATTCAATAAATACTAACAATAATATATAATATATATATGATTGTTGGCTGATTAGGTGATAATATAAATAATGTGATGTTGAAAAAAATTACCATCAGATCTTTTTTGTAAGCCAGGAAATTTCTTCCCGAAAAAAACCTTTCATTACTAAGATAATCCAACTATCGGCCAAAAAATCAGGATCAATTGCTGGATTACTTCAGTTATGAGTGATTTTGGAAGAAATAATTGAGACATCTTTTCTATAGAAAATAACCTACAAAAAGGCGTTTCACACTTTCTTTCCAAATCACTGGATACGAATCCTTAATAATCGCGTGGCAGTAGGGCGAGAAAACTGACAGTTTCGGATATTCTTCATCCGAAAAGAAATGGAATTCAATTGTCAAATTCGCTCCACCTCTTAGTGAGCACAGCAAGGGGCATAGCATATAGACTAGCGAAAATGCACCGTAATTCTGAAAAAAAACGGAAAAACAATTCATTGGTTCAATTATCATACCTTGTTTCATTTCTTCGGTTCATTCTTCTTCTTCTTCATGTTATGTATCCTGGACGAGCCATCTTCCCGTGTCAATGATTCTATGCAAGCAACCATTTCTTCCCCTCTCTCGATGCAGACTCAATAAAGTCTTGGCTGCTTCATCTTTCATCGCCTCCACTTGCTTTTGATGAGCCATATCGAATAAGTCTCCCAGCATACATATGAAGTCAATTTCCTTAACTTTAACTGTGACAGATGTTTCCTTCCGAGAGCCGTACTTGAGAATACTCTTGTACTGTTGCACTAATTTCTCCATTCTCTCGATCGCATGGCACTCTTTCACGATTGGGATTCCTGCATATTCCCAGAACGTAACACACTTTCGTACAACACATGTTGCAGCTCCTCGAGCCATCAATTTCGGCGAGGCATGTCTCGTATAGTAAAAGTAACATTGTAATACCTGTTTGTTTGACGGCAATTGATTCCCACAAATTTCCGGGGTCGCATTACCCACTAATACAATTTCGGTGATCTGTGGCGTTTCCGACATAGTCGCGCGTATTTTTTTGATATTGGCTTACTGGAGAGAAAATGTTGAGGTAGCAATTACTCCGATGCGGATGGTTTGGAAGTCTTCCTTTAACTGACCTTTGGTGTGTAGACGGGAAAATTGTCAAAACATATTTTATTATATTCAAGGCAAAGTACGGAGAAGCCCCACCCCCCAAAGAAGATACGAAACGACCTAAAAATTTGGCTTTTCGTATCATAAATTGCTTCCAAATTGGTCAGCAAGGTTTCTCAGGTAATATTCGTACGTGCACCGCCTATCTATGACACAAAGTCATCAATGTGCCATTCCGAGAACAATTTTCTGAGACTTTAAACGCAAGGCGTTGTAAAATCATTTCAAGGAAATTTTATAAAAATTTTCTTCAATACTATTTTGGTTTATTTTCTTTCTGAAAAATTAGATCATCTCATTTTTCTCAGATGGATTTTTATCATTCACTAGATATTTCATTATTTTTACTTTCCATTCAATCATGTGGAATGTACATTTTGTTTTCTGCTTCCATCAAAAAATTCAATATTCCATATATGAAGAATTTGTGGATCAAAGAGAAAAAAAATATTGATAACGATATCAATTTCAAGTGTCGAATCGCGAAGCTAAAAGAGAATTTCTATCGTGTAAAAGGGAAGAGAAAATTCAGTTCAATGAATGGGCAAAGGCAGAACTGCATTATATTACCTGAAAAATGCCCATTGCACTGGCCCGACCTTTGACTACCTGGCGAAGGACCATCATAAAACCATCTGACTTTTCACCAAACATTAGAGCTGCAAACTGCCAGTAGATCAGATAATTTGTGAAACTTTGAATCGCTTGCGCTGCCTTAAAAATAGTTACAAAAATCCGAAAAAATTCACATAGGTGTTTTACTTGATGAACTATCAGATTCATTCGAGGGAAAAGCAAAATTTTATGTTCGTCATAAGATGTGGCAGACTAATAATCAACTTAAAAAAAAACTGCATTGGCCGATTTATTTTTGTGAGCATGAAAAATTAGCTCCTAATGAGCTCTAAATTATTTAACGTTGGAACTAGATTTGTAATTTATGAAGTACTCTCCTGCTGAGAAAAGTTAACAGCATGAGATTTTTTTTTTAAGGATATCGACAGGAAACTTTTTACCAGCGTAGAAAATGAGCTCGTAATGAGCTTCAACTTATGCAACCTTCAAAATATAATTCTGCAAAAAACTGCATTAGCCGATTTATTTTTGTGAGCATGAAAAATTAGCTCCTAATGAGCTTTGAACCATTTACTCCTGAAGAACGAATTCTGTTTATTTTCAAGTACTTTTCCTGCTAATTGCGTAGGAAGAACCACCCACACGCCTATTTATTTGCAAAAATAACATGCGTGAAAAAATTAACCAAACGGTATAAAATTAGCTCCTAAAGAGCTCCAAATTATTCAATGTTGAAACTCAATTTTTTAAAAAATTTTGAAGTTGTTTCCTGCTGAGAAAAGTTAACAACATGAGATTTTTTTATAAAAAAAGAGATCGACAGGACACGTTATTCCCGTATAAAATAAGCTGTTAATGAGCTTCAAATTACCCATCCTTCAAAATGTAATTTTGTTAATTTATGATCTCCGTTGAGAAACAGTTAACAATTTAACATTTTCTTCAAAAAAATGACATCAGCAGGAACCTTTTCATCGGCGTATAAAATAGTTCTTAATCAGCTTCAAATTATTCATTCTTCAAAATCTAGTTCTGTTAATTTTCCAGTAATTTTGCAACCAATGTGCGAAAAAGGTGGCATGAACACTTAAAAAAGAAGCATTGGCGGATAATTTTTGTCAAACAAAAAAACTATGCTCGTAATGAGCGTCAAATTATGCAAGATTGAAACACTTTTTTTTTCATTTTTTAGCCCTTTTGCTAAAAAGCGCTACTTTTTTATGCGAAAGCTAATGTCAATATGTATTTTAGTTTTCTGTCTGACCCTTATGATCATAATTTATGCTTTGAGTCCTTCCAACAGTTCGACTCTCATGAGCGTTTCAAGCATATAATTATTATGGCTATGTCAAGTATTCGGCCCTCATGACCTTAGGGTCATTCTGACCGCTTCCACTATCTCAAACTACCCATTACCAATTATACTCACTTGTAATACCACAAGAGCTTTAAAATTATCGGGTTTTTTCCGATAGGTTCGTTGCAAACAAACGAAGGTGTCAAGTTTTTCAGGCTAAAAAATCACGAGTGCCAAGCACGAGTGATTTTTCCTGAAAATCTTGATGACTTCGTTTGTATGCAGGAAACCTTGAGGAAAATTCCCGATTAATTTTGAAGCTCGTGTGGTATTCGGGGGATTATTTTTCCAATCCAAACGTTGGGCAATATAATTGGACCATGAGACGAAACTCACAATTGAGAAACGAAAATTGTATAATTAACACTCATTTCGAATAAAAATCCTCGGATTACCACAATTGAATTCAATCTGTCAGTTTGGCGAGGGGTTAATTCGACTGCATGATGTTTTGTTTTTTATATAGCAACTACTAGAGAAAATTATCAAAAAATTATCAGTTGAAAACCCTGTAGCTTGTACCACGTGATGTCGAATGGGCCAATTATATTGCCCGATATTTGGGTTGGAAAAATAATCCCTACACTTCTTACGAGAATTTTGATACGTACTTCCGTAAAAAAACGAAATCATTTTCGATAATAAAAATTTAAAAATAATGGAAAGTGAGCTTCTAATGGGCCTAAAATTCTCCATTATCTCAAATGGAATTACATTCATTTTCACTCCATATTTTTGTTAACTTGCGGGGGAGTTGGCTTGACACCTTTTTTTTTTTTTTCAAAAAACGCGTTGGCAGGACATTTTTCCCCAGCATAGAACGAAAGAACTTAAAGAGCTTAAAATTATCGAAGGTTGAGAAAAAAATTCGTTCCATTTTTGGGCCAATTTTTCTGCTAACTTGCGAAAAAGTTAGCACAAACAGGTTTTTTTTCCAAAAATAGCATTAGCAGGAAAATTGTTTCAGGCGTAGAAAATTAGCTTCTAATGAGCTTTAAATAATCCCATATTCAAAACTTAATTTCGCTGATTTTCACTGGCAACTTCATGTACGTCGTATGCAGTATTGCCGTATGATCATTAAAGGCTGGACCAATGAAAGTCAAGTGTGTAATTAAATAAAACATTGTTAAAAAATTTATTTAATGAATAATCCGAAAAACTATGGGGATGGCAACATTTTAGCTAAAACTGAAAACTTGCTTGAAAAAAAGTTATTATCTTGAATGAACTCCTTATATATTCTTCAGCAAACCATTGTAAATAGAACAGTGCTGATTTTTTCTTATTGATGTTAGCATTCACTTTCATTATCATTTTAACAGAGAAATGCAGCTATCTTAGCTGACGATGGACATGATCTCTTTCCGACCAGTTTACTAGACCGTCTCCCGAATCAACGACAGGAAAATGGACTCCTGGTGAGACCCCTGAGATGCACTGATTATGATAAAGGTTTGTTGTTATTGCTAATAAATGTTAGTAGTCTAGTGGCAAAATAAAATTCGTTAAATATGAAATCGTTATAAAGTGTTGTATCGTGGCGAAAGGCAATAGTTCTATGGAAAATTTCGGAAGTTAGAAGTAATGAGTATATTATCTCCAGACTATCATTCGGCCAACATGAGATTGTTTTAGGACATAATTTACACGGAAAGAGGAATGCTATACGTTGCGGCGGTACAGCTGAAATTATTTGAATTATTTTCTCCAAATAAGAAATTTTATCTACAAAATAATCCAGCTGCAACGGTTTTATAGGCTTATATCACGTACAAGGTGGATGTTCTACAATAGATGCCTTTTGGCATGAAATTAGGATAAAATATACTGACGTAATTTCGGCAGACTCACGGTATCTATCCTCCGTTACGCAGCCCTCTGGCACCAACAAACCCTGAACTAAAGTTGGACGCCAGGTCGTTAATCTCGGAACGACCACCGAAACAAACCTTCTCCGATAACAACTCACGAATGGACCAGGTAGCTCATCTTTGGAGAGGGATAAACCCTAGAGCTGAAATCGGGATGTGACTGGGGAAATCAACTGAATAAAATAATAAAGCAAATACCATTGACGGGAGATAAGACACGCTTTAATACGGCTAGACTTAATACAAAAATAAAATAATAAATAATAAATGTCTCGATTGAAAACCTCTTTTACGACTCGTTATAAAATAAACAAGACTCGATACAAAATAAATCACTTTCGTTAGGAAATAAAATGTTCTGAAGTTAAATATAAAATAAACGACAATAAATGAAATTACAGAACCAATTGATATTGATTGTCTGCGAGACGAATGTACGCTGGCAACTAACAGCAAACCAAAACAATAGACTACGAAACTGGCTAGTGACACATGGACAAGTTCACGAAACCAACAAAATTAAATCAAATATACAAGAAAAATGTTCCCGATGACGAGAGCACACGTTCTCACAAAATCAAATGTCTGCAACATCGATGCCCCGGAATAATGGTTAACAACAGAGTAAATAATATTCGAGCGTGACGTACAATCGTAAATCAACATTCTCATCCAAATGCTCTCTCATCTATTCTGCTGCGAATTTTTGGAGAGCATCGATAGTGCTCTCATCAATGCCTTTGAATGAAACAGCGTTGTAGAAGTGTTGTCGACCCAATATATTTTTTACGTATTCTGCCACTGCTACTCCTCTTTCTCTCTCCAGCAAACTCCAGAAATTTTGAGATTTATTCTCTCCCATTGTTAGGTTTTGGTATACAATACGTACCCCTGCCAGATACCCTGCTAGAAATTGTCACATGGGGAGTGGGTTGCCAGAGGTGAATTTAGGACTCTTCGGAACACTTTATATAATTATATAAGTGGTCGGTTAGGTATACGGGACCTCCCATTTCGCCACCTTCCTTCAAAAGGCAAATTTATTTTAATAAATTAATTTGAAGATAGTCACTTTCTAAATTCACGAGCATGGTAAAGCATTGAATTACGAGCCTTACCAGCTCTTGGCGTTACCCAGGACCCACGGCGTGGACGTGGCTGGCATCGGGTCCCAAAGATTCCCAAATATAAAATTTATATTGAGAAAGGGTCCGTATAGTCTACCAACACCATATATGGTTTTAATATACAATACATACCCCTGTCAGATACCCTGCTAGAAATTGTCACATGGGGAGTGGGTTGCCAGAGGTGAATTTAGGACTCTTCGGAACACTTTATATAATTATATAAGTGGCCGGGTAGGTGTACGGGACCTCCCATTTCACCACCTTCCTTCAAAACGCAAATTTATTTTAATAAATTAATTTAAAGATAGTCACTTTCTAAATTCACGAGCATGGTAAAGCATCGAATTACGAGCCTTTCCAGCTCTTGGCGTTACCCAGTGGCCACGACGCGGACGTGGCTGGCATCGGGTCCCAAAAATCCCCAAATATAAAATTTATATTGACAAAGGGTCCGTATAGTCTACCAACACCCATTGTTATGAACTAACAAATACGAGAAAGAACCTTTAACTTACATTGAATGAAGAAAAAAAAATCGTACGGTGGAATAACAGTTTGACGCTCGTTGACGTTGCATGCACGTAGAGGTTATATTGAGTAACTTATGCTTATTTTCATAATTATCTATTGATGGCAACAGGCACTTACCAGTAGATCATTTACCGCGATGGCGCACTCCGAAAACTAGCGGTCACGAAAAGTTTTTTTTTTTTCTAAATGAGAGAAACGTTGATCTTCCAAGATAAATTTATCGAGGGATTTCTCGTCTACAGTTGGTAGAAATGTGAAATTCAAAAGATGAAACATGAACGCGCATGACAGAAATGATTTTGATGGATTGTTCGGGATTGGGACACAATAAATGTACACAGTATTAACTCGACAAAGATTTATTCAGTGAAGCACGTCACTCGTCTCGCGTCCAGCATCCAACACGTCTCCTACAGGAATGTACAACCTACACGCCACAACCAGCCTGGGACGAGATCTGCGCATGCGCACGATCTCGTCCCCTTCACTTACACAGATACATCTTATACTATAGATAATATATATACATATATATGAGGACCAGGAGCTGGAGCCATATTCAAATACTCCCTCCCGACTGCTTCTGTGTCCTTCAGTATGAAAAGGTTATCATCAAATTTATATACTTTTGTTCCCTAAACAGACAGAAAAACAATAATTAGATATTCACATTCATTATTTTGTCAACTTGGCGCTGGTGTAATTCAAACGCCAGAGATTTGGTAAACACGTCAGCCAATCGATCTCTGGAACTAATTCAGTTTACTTTGATCAAATTGAGTTTCACACATTCTTTGATGTGGTCGGCTTAGACATCGATAATATGTCTCAATTTATTTCCCCCACTAATCTCAGCACTACTTGTCGCTGCCTTATTATCGCACCACAATGTCATAGGCAACTGGGGTGGAAATATTAATTTCAGAGAATTAAAAATAGACAACATCTCTTGACTAGCTTCGCTCATCGCAACATATTCTGCTTGATAAGTAGATAGAGCTACATACGACTTTTTTTGAGTTCTCCAAATAATTGAATCACCAAACAGTTTAATTACAAAACCACACGTAGTCAATGATCCTTGGCAATCAGCAAAGCTAGCATCAGAGTATGCTTCAATCACATCAGTCTCACCAGTGTATCTCAGCCCTAACGCAGAAGTACCTCTCAAATACCTCAGTAATCTCTTCACCATTTTCCAATCCTCATCGGTTGGACTCACCTGGTGTCTGCTCAACACATTGACCGCGTAGGAAATGTCTGGTCTAGTCGTTCCTGCTAGATATAGTAAGCTACCTACTACTTCTCTGTATGGACAATTCATTCTCTCATCAGTCATAACATGGATCTCACCCGAAATGTCTGATTCTCTCAGTTTTCGCTCATGATTAGATGCCTGTGTAGTTAACATTGGAGTTCTTTGAGGATGTGAATTTTCAAACCCGTATTTAATCAGTAATTTCTGAACGTATCTTTCCTGACTCAATTTTAATATTCTGTTCTCTCGATCTCGTTTAATGACTATATTTAAAAATTCTTTTGGCTCTCCTAGGACAGTCATTTCAAATTCGGAACTCAGTGCTAATTTAACCTCATCCAGCTTAAATTTGTCATTACTTGCCATGATAATATCATCTACATATAATCATAAAATCAAGAATTTATCCTCATGACTCCAAGTAAATAAGCAAGGCTCTAGATCAGAGTTAACAAGTCCTACACCAAAGGCTACTTCAGTGAATTTCTTGTTCCATCGCTTGGGACTAATTCGAAATCCATAGAGAGACTTCTCCAGCTTACAAACTTTAGTTTCTCTATCCAGATCAGAATGTGGAGTCCCTTCAGGGATTTCCATGTAAATTTCCTCGTCAATCTCACCATTCAAAAATGCAGTTTTAACGTCCAATTGACATGTATTCTAAATTGTATTTATTGATTATAGCAAATACTGCCCTGACCAAGTTCATTCTGGATACTGGAGCATAAGTTTCTCTTAGTTAGTAGACATTTCGATCCTTAAAACCTCGAATGACTAATCTAGCTTTATGAGGTGTCTTGCCAGTCGCTTCTAACTTGCGTTTAAAGATCCATCTCGAGTCAATTATATTAGCTTTCTGACCATTTTGATTACAGGTAGGTCTATCTACAATTTTCCATACTTTATTTTTACTCATCGAATTTAATTCCTCCTCTATAACAACTGAACATTTATTCTTTTCNAGATCCATCTCGAGTCAATTATATTAGCTTTCTGACCATTTTGATTACAGGTAGGTCTATCTACAATTTTCCATACTTTATTTTTACTCATCGAATTTAATTCCTCCTCTATAACAACTGAACATTTATTCTTTTCTACGCCCTGCACGGCATCTTTGAAATTGATTGGATCTGAATTGATATCAGCAAGAAGAGCATGACATACCTCATCAGTTGAATTGTACAGACCTAGCTCACCCTCACCCTGTGATAGACAAGCCAAAAATAATCCAGAAGTCAGACTCGCGTCGATTGGTAATGTTGCAAGGTTTGATCCCTTTGCTGTTCCACTGGTGGGTTCATTGACCTCTTTTATGTCTGACCTTGGAGTTACCTTTCTCGGCCTACCCCTTTTTCTCTTCGGTACTCCCTCCGATTTGGAGGCCTCATCCACATCGCTCGAACCCTTATCAAAACCTACAAACCAATCCTCCTTATTTATCACTTCTTGAACTTCTGGGACATCTCTGATCTCACTTCTCTTGTACTTATCACTATAAACCTTTTTCTCATTAAACGTGACATGTCTACTTTCATAGAATTTACCTTCTTCTGGTTTCAGCAATATGTATCCTGTTGGAGTGTAACCAACCAGAATACCTCTCACACCTAATGCTCTAAATTTAGGTCCTACTTTTCTCTGAACTTTCATGTACGCTAA